CCGTCATGTATGGCTGATCGAGCATTCGGATTCCAGCTACTTTGCTATCGTACGCTACACCGACGCCGCAGACGCCATTATCACGAGCGGCTGCAATTTCTCCAGCGCATCTAAGAGGAAAAATGATAATTTGAGACTTAAAATGAAAGATGAACCGAAGTTAAGGCATATCAACTCGCCTCGTTCCGTGCGAGTTGAACCAGTCATCCGTGTATCTTGGATATGGGAACGGGTCGTTTGAGGAGAAGTCGTAACTGGCTTCGGCATTCTTCAAAGGATTTTCTGCTTTTTAGTAACAACAGCTTTGTAAGATTATTGACAGATTGTGATTAATAAAAGGCTTGAGAGATTTTTGAGAGGTGCAGAAAGAAAGGAATATTCGTAAAAAAGAAAAATGGACGTCATTCAAGAACTTTTAATCGGTCTTGAAAAATTCGTAGAAATTTTTTGATAGAAAAAGAAGAACTACGATGGTCGGGAGCCTAGTGTGGTTAGCACTTGCAAAGCATTAGTATCCATGGTGTTAGCGTAATGGTTAGGCATGAAAGTGAGTGTCTACATTATCGAGCTCAAAATAAGGAATGTCTTGACATAGTACATTGAAAAGAAATATTTGTACGATTCGAAGCCTTCAGTAAACTAAGTGCTATAAGGTAATGGAAGAAAAGAAGGGAAAATTGAAATAGAAAAGGAAGAGCTTACGAAATTGTTCTTAATATCTGGATGCATGTAATCAACTCCGTCATCCATAATTGCTGTCGTTATGTTCTTTCCGGTGAAACCCAATGCCCAAGCCTAAATTGAAGCCGCTCAAGACATAAGAGGCAATTTTAAAAGCAATATGTCTCAGGTTTTTCGCTCACTTTTTCAACATTAAGATCCAGACGAGCCTTGCCGCCTGCTTGCCCGGTATTTTTCTAAACAAAAAAGTAGATTTGTGCATATGTGTGGAAAAAAACAAATAAGAGAAGAAAAGGATATAAAAAGTGGCATATAGAAAAGTATTTGCTCACCAGGTACCATTGATAGTTGTACAATGGATCTGTTGGTGACTGCACAGAGGAGAAGTCAAACTGGCTTTGAAGTCGTTCAGCCAGTGGCCTACAAAGAAAATCTAGAGATCCCTACTAATATATATCTCATTCAATAAATTACCTATATCCCCGCTTCGTACGTTTGTACCCGGTGAGTTGTTCGACGTGTAAAACCTGAAATCGATAGTTGTTGTACGCCAACTGAATGAAATGTAGATGCATTTGCGAAAACGCTGAATAGTTCTATGCTCGCTGGACCCAAACTAATTATCGCAAGGTTCCAAAATAGCTGACGATAAAGAGGGTCTTAAGGCTTCCGGAAATAATCTCCTTAATCTTGCGGCTTTCCTATGGA